TATAAGCTGAAGTTCTTGAACAAAAGCAGCCTGTCAACTCCGGTATATTTAAGTACAGGAAAGATTGATGTTTGCCAATGTCAAATCAGAGAGAAGAAAAATGTTTTCAAGTTTAAGAGACTGCCAACAATGAAAAGGAAAATAAATAAAAATTTAGATGTACAATATTGTTATACCTTGTCAAGAAAATGATAATTGAAATCAGACCTCCTTTTACAAAAAACATAATGTAAAATTTCCACCAAAAAACTACTCGAGTCTAACAATTAAAGCAAAAGTAAAATTTTTAAAAGGTACAATGTGATGACTGACATTAACAAAAATTGTGCCCTTAAATTATCAAAAACCTTTGCCCTAGATTTCATCTTCAGATTAATTAATCGGTTATATTTTAAAAGAAAGCTAGGAGTTTGAAAAATATCAACATGAGCCATGTGGAACTCCATCATATATTCAATAGTTAAAACATGCAGGTTTCTGTTTATTTCTTCTGCATTATCAGGTTTATGACATTTATTTGGTAGCTAGACGCTGTTTTGAATGTGCAATGATTTGAGTTATTAAAATACAGTTTGCTTATGATCCATGTTAAGAACATGCAGTGCATTCAAATAACTAGGTAACATTAGGCCTTTCATCTCAAAGCAGTATGTTTCATTTCCCTGGGGTTGGGATTAAATTGAGATTTTTGTATTCATTTGAAGTATAATTGTAATGAGAATATTTAACATGGGTCAAATGGAGAATACTGGCACCCTGGAAGTGCTTAGAAATCATTTGCTCTTTTTATACATTGTCCCATAGTGGGATTGAGAAAGATTACCACGCCTTGTTTAACGACATTATATTGTTCTATTTGTGAATCTAATGAAATCTTTGGCAGAAAAGCGCACAAATTGCTCAAATGAATTTTAGAAAATAAGGCTTCTGAATCAAATAATTATACATTTGAAATACATCAGATACTGTTAACAGTCTTTACCTACAGAAAGTCAGAGATATGTATGTATATTTTTAAACTCTTAATGTTTCCTTTTTATTCCCATAATGGAAAGTGGGGGAAAATTGTACTTTATTTGCCCACAGACATGGGAAAGAATTACCCAGCAGAGCTATGTACCCACACAGATTTTTCCAGACTCCCTTTTCCCCTGAAGCCGTCTTTTTATTGGAGCACCATGAGTGATTTTCCACCTTTCTCATTGAAGTGCTCAGGTGTACTAGCACCACTCTCCCTCTCAGGACACTGACTTTGTTAAAACCAAGAGGAAACAAATCATTTCTTTGTGCTGCTTATTTGCGAGTGCTAAACCGGATCAGCCTGTGAGCAAAACCGGCCTGTCACTGAATAATCAACTACTGAAAACCACGTAAAAATTATATTAGATTGGATAGTATCACAGATCTTAAAGAAAGTTTCTTTATGAAACAGTGCAAATGTCAATAAAATTCATTAAGCTCTACAGTACATTCAGAAACTGTTTTAGTACTAAATCATCCCCAGCAATTGCTTAGGGCTAGATTACACTGACTCCGAAGAAAATGATGTTAGGTCAATGTAACATCCTAAAACAATATAACATTTTCTTAGAGAGTTACAGGCTTTTGCCCTAAGAGGAAATGTATTTATGTTAAGCACAGTCTAGGATGGAAGCTTGTTTGAATGTCCCGATAAATCCAGTCATTACTTTGGGGAACAAAGAAGTATGACTTACTCAGGAATTGTTAAAGAAAAGAAAGTGTTTCATTTGGTAAACTCCCTATAATAACATGGAAGTTCTGCTATATGACCACCATTCTTGGTCTTCCCAATTGCACTGGAAGTAAATATATTAATACAGTTACTATTCATTGTTTATGCTTGATGAAGGACTTTCAAATGTGCCTAGAAAACAGTTACTATTTGGCTCAGCAGTAAAGAATTCACCTGCAATGCAGGAGACACGGGTTTGATCCCTGGGTTGGGAAGATCCATTGGAGTAGGAAGTGGAAACCCACTCCAGCATTCTTGCCTGGAGAATCCCATAGACAGAGGAGCCTGGCAGACTACAAAAGAATTGGTCACAACTTAGTGACTAAACAACAACAATATATTGAACATAGTAGTGACAGTCCTCATCAAAACCTGGAACAAGGCAAAGATGCCTAACAATAGCACTATAATTTAAAATTATTCTGGAAGTTCTAGACAATTCAGTAATGTAATGATCTGACACCAGATTTATTAGAAAAAAGAAGAGGAAATTTTTATTCTCGTGAAATTTATAATCACATACAATGTAATTTACATCAAAAATATCTAAAATTGCCCAGGGCTTATTCATCCTATTTCAGAAGAATGTGATAAATTGGGATAATAGGAATGAGCTGACATAATATGACTTTTCTAATACATTTTCAGACTCCTACCTTAAGTAAATGTGTATTTATGTTGAGTACATTATAACATAGAGAAACCTAAGTGAAGCAACTGAAAAACTACTTGAATTAAAAGAGGAATTAATTAAGATGGCAAGATACAAAATAAATAGCATACTTAAAAAGTATCTATCCATCAACAATATCTTGATTTTGAGGTGAAGAAGAGGGAAAATAAATTCATGGTAACAATCACAACTATAAAATATCTGGTAATATCCTTAATACAAATTGCACAAGACCCATATCTGGGAAGAATTACAGAGCTTTCCTGAGCAACATACAAAAAGATACATGAATGTAAAGAATTATGCTTCTGAATGGGAATATTGTAAAGATGGCAATTAATGTGCAGGTGTAATATTAGCAACTCAGTCAAAATCCTGCTGGGATTATTTTAAGAACATGAAGAAATTATTCTAAAAAGGTTAGGATTCAGAATAACAAATATGAAATATCATATAATAAATATATTAATATCATACATTAAATATGAAAATATTATCTGTCACTGTATTTTAAATGGCATGATACAACTGCAGCTAGAATCTACACTTATAATCTCCTGCATTGGCAGATGAATTCTTTACCACTGTGCCACCTGGGAAGCCCTATAAAATGGAACAGATAAGCATAAAATTAACTCAGCATTTCTGTGAACCAAATACGACAGAAGCTCCTAATAATGTAGATAGGACATGTTATTCAGTAAAGGATAATGAGAGATTTGGCCAGAATTTGTGGAGGAAAAAAGAGTAATACCCTGAAATTCAGACACCACATATAAACATTTTGAAGAATTTTAGTTACATAGAAATGTTCATAGATAGAAAAAATATAAAAATATTTATACAATATGAACTTAGTCTGGTAAAATAAATATATACATGGAGAAAAAGGTGAGGGGATGTTGGTAGACTGAAGGTGATATGTTTTCTTCTTTATACATTTTTGTAATTTCCATCTTATTCCTTGAACTATAGTATATTACATAATCAGAAAGATCAAAGTTTTCACCTTTGATTTTCAAAGCCATCTTCATGTTATCAAAGTAGAATTATCCCTTGGTATCCATGGGGTTTTGGTTTCAGGACCTTTTGCAGTTGACAAAAATCTTAAGATGCTTCAGTCTTTTATATAAAATCTTGTAGAATTTGCATATATCCTATGCACATCCACACATATATAATTGACCCATGAACAACATGGGTTTGAATTACATGGGTCCACTTATATGTCAATTTTTTCCAATAAATATGCAGTCATTTCTCTGCATCTGCAGGTTCAACCAACTGCAGATCAAAATTTCCATCCACAGTTGATTGAATCTGTGGGTTGACCCCATGGATATGGAGAGCTCGCTGTACTCATTGCACGGCATCGTTTTACATGAGGGACTTGAGCATCTGTGGTTTTTGTTACCTGCAGAAAGTCCAAGAATCAAGTCTTGGTGAGGATTAACCATTCATCACCTCTAGATTCCTTATAATACCTAATACCTAATACAATTTAAATCGGAGAAGGCAATGGCACCCCACTCCAGTACTCTTGCCTGGAAAATCCCGTGGATGGAGGAGCCTGGTGGGCTGCAGTCCATGGGGTCGCTAAAAGTTGGACACGACTGAGCGACTTCACTTTCACTTTTCACTTTCACGCATTGGAGAAGGAAATGGCAACCCACTCCAGTGTTCTTTCCTGGAGAGTCCCAGGGACGGGGGAGCCTGGTGGGCTGATGTGTATGGGGTTGCACAGAGTCAGACACGACTGAAGTCACTTAGCAGTAGCAGCAATACAATGTAAATAAAATGCAAATATTATGTAAATAGTTGTGGTCACAGAAAATCCAAATTTTGCTTTTTGGAATTTTCTAGAATTTGGAGGGGGGAGTATTTTTGATTGGCGATTGGATGACTCGATGGATGCTGTACACACAAAACTGGAGGACAAACTGTACATTACAAATATTATATATTTTCAGGAAGATATTGTTTTGCGTTGTTTTAGTCTCTGAACTCAGGCCTTTACTTTTTTTTCCCTTTTACAGTGGATGAGCAGTTAGTGCTCTGTCAGGCAGTCGTACCCAACTCTTCACAACCCCAAGGACTGTAGCCCAACAGGCTTCTCTGTTCACGTGATTTTCTCAGCAAGAATACTGGAATACTGGAGTATTCTCAGCAAGAATACCATTTCCTTCTCCAGTTACATTTAGAATAAGATCAGTAAGCAGGGAACATATAGCAATGCTTACCATTACATTTCCCATGCCTAGCATAATGGCTGATACGTAGAGGCCATGCGAAGTGTTTGACTACAGGAACAGCTAATCAACACAAAACTCACCTATTTACAAAAAATGTTAAGGAATTAACTCTGTCAATAGAATATAATTAATCAACAAATGCCAATCATTTGATTATCTACTATATAAGTTGGAACAATTAAACTTTTTTTTTGTTTTTATTTATATCTACTATATAAGTTGGAACAATTAAACTTTTTTTTTGTTTTTATTTAATCTACTTAGATATGGACAGTACAAAGGCAAAAACTGAGAAGACCAAAGAAACAGCTTACCACCTTACATTTTGACATGTTGGTCCTAGAATTTGGTAGTCTTCCTGCAGATCTAACATATTTCTTTTGGGTAGGCCAAGACTTTTCTTGAGGAAAAAGAGAAACCACTCTACTATACCTCTTCTTTAAAGAGCTCAAATTTTAATTCCTAGAGAATCATTTTACCTTAAAACAACTCCTTGGAATCTACACTATAATGACATCACAATATTAGACCCTTATATTTCTTCCAGTTCTGTTGCCCTCATCTTGAGAGAATTTTTTCTTTCTCTCTACTATTATATACTCACTGTCCCTGTGCCTTCTACCAAGCATTATCTTGTTCTGCTCCAAGAGGCTCTTCTTCCCCCAGAGCCATTACATTCAGTTATTTTGCTTAATTATATTAAGCTATCACATTGTAAGGGCTTTGCTGACAGCTCAGCTGTAAAGAATCTGCCTGTCAATACAGGAAACACGGGTTCTGTCCCTGGGCTGGGAAGACCCCCTGGAGAAGGAAATGGCAACCCACTCTAGTGTTCTTGCCTGGACAAGAGGAGCCCATGGACAGAGGAGGGTCTTGTCTTTACTGCATTTCTCTGAGCCACAGGATAAAATAAATGGCAGTTGAATCAACTGTGCTATCAACTTTCTTTAAAAAAAAATCTTAATATTACCTTCTAACAGTTGAACATTTCACTGATTTATTTCTTCAACCAATGCCACTTATTGACTTCTTACTAATTCCTTAACGTTGTGCCAGGTGTTTATTTGGGACACAGAAATAATTGAGATAATTCTTACCCTTGTGATACATTGCTTTCTTTATGAAGCTCTGAGAGAGATGATTATTCTATAACTGAGATGTTGAATCCTGATTTCTAATTGAGCTTCCTAGGCAAGGACTTTTGAAATGAAAGCATTAAATTTTGTGATATCATTCTATCAAGAGGACAATACATTATTTTTAAATAATTTCTGTGCTTAAAGATATTTGGAATGTTTATTTTATAAAAATACACTTATAGTTTTATAACCACTTCTTGGTTATACTTCCAATAGTGTACTACTTGTATTCAACTTTTAAAAATTATAGAGCAGGCACTTTTTTCCATTACAACTTTTCAGATAAAAACTTCTGATCCTGTTATGCTTGCTATTATTTTCAAAACATAGGAAGGTACACCTTTGGTATCCCTCAAGAAAAACATGTTTTATCTTTGTTCACCTAAGGACATTTCAAAAAAACACTCAGATAGCTTTCCAAGATGAATAGTGCCTCCTGATTTTCACTTGACTCAAAGGGTAGAATAAATGAATAATTCTGTATGCAAGTTTCTTGGTTTGCTTACAACTTTCTGCTAAGACTCCAGAGACCTTTAAGCAAAAGATTCCACCAATTACATTTGTTGTATGTGTGTATGTGTGTATATTTTTTTCAGAAAGCATATGTTAGTGGGGCTATTAAGCAATTAGCTTCATGCATATAGATAGTTCATTTTGCACCAAACCATATGATGTGACTGGAATTTATAGAAAACCATCTTTCTTGCCAGGAATTGAGGCGAGTTAATTCTCTAGTTTGGAGAAGTGTGGTCTTATGACTGCAATCTGTACCCTTAAAAATCAGGAACCTAGAATTCTATATTCAATTGCTTAGAAAGGCACAAAAATATAAAAGTTTATCTTTATTAAACATAGAAATTGGAAAGAGAATACCAAGTACCTGACTCATGTTGCATGCTCTCTAAATGTCTGTTAACTTACAATGAAATGAAACCAGCAAGGGGTGAGATTAGGGTTTTGGGGGTTTTTTTAATTGAATATGTGCCATGAGGTCTCATGTCCCTCTCAGATTTGGCTCTGAGCTTTCTAGCAGTCTAGGCAAAAAAGGAAATGCAATCAGTGAAGGAATCTGTGATGTCAATGAGATAAAAACAAACTGGCTGCTCAGGAGAAACCTAGCTGTTTCTAGAGATTTAATATTTCCAGAATAAATGAATGATGTTGAACTCAGAAAAATTTCTTCCATTTGCATTTTTAGGAAGGCACCATCTTTCCAGCAAATGGCAGAGAACTTCATGTGTCTGTTTTTCAGACCGAAGCCTAAGAGGTGATCAGGAAAACTACTATTATGGAGGTGAAACACAGTCACAGCCTGATAACACGCCTTAATTCAAACAATATTTGGAAATACCTAGAAATACTGAAGCAGAGGTAGATGGATTGCATGTACTTTGGGCATGTATATATTTTCCAAGTTTAAAACAAGATTCATTGTCACCTTTTGAAGCTCTAGTTGTGCTTTATAAAAGAAGTGTGTTACCATCTTGTCTCATTTTTAAAGCATTCATATCCCAGGCCACAACCCTGAATCAGTTTTTTGTTGTTTTTTTCTCTTTTTGGGGTGGTGGAGATTATACTGAAACTCCATGGAATGTCTACTACACAATGTAAAATTCTACACGATTGGCCTTTTGTAACTATTAAGCAAAACCAGTAAATCAAGATGCTCAGATTAACATATTTTCAGCAGAAGTATCCATATGAAAGGAAATGTTGACATTCTTTATGAAAGCTGCTTTCTCCCTGTACTGCCGCCATTGTTATTGTGGATTTCCCTGTTCAGCACTTAGTTCCAATTTTTTAAATGATCCATTTCAACACTAGACAGCAATATTCTTCTAGCCATATGAGTTTTGGGTTGCATTTTATTACATTAAAGATTGCAGAGCTGTACTGTGAATTACAGTGTTAACATCCCCTATATTTTAGAGGACTGTGCTCATAAGAATTATTACAACTGGGTTCAGGAATTTTTTTCTTTTGGCCTTTGAAAAGTCCAATGCAATTTAATCTTTAGTAGTAACTAGATTATGAATGTACTGTACAACTACAAAAAAACTTAAAAGTACAAAAACAATGGATAATTGATTCAAGAATTCCAGAGAAACATTTCGCTTACAGGAGGTATCCTGAACGGATTCTTTACTGCCAGTGCTATCTCTATCCTAGCTTGCTGGTGATGTAGGAAAAAAGGCAAGGACACAAATAACTCAGCAAACCTCTTTTCAACACGTTGTCAAGTCCCTTATAAAGCAAGTGCAAACATGGCAGAAAGCCACCACCAAATTTCAGAGTCGAAGAATGCATAAATTGTTACAAGCTTATGCTATAGATCAACTACCCAGAATTTGGGAGGTTTCTGCTAATACCTTACTCTCAACCATCCTTGTCACTTCTTTCTCTCCTGGCCTAAGTGGGCCTCACTACCCACTTACTCCTCCAGAGCAAATGGGCCAGGTGAAAACTTGTCAGCTAATATTTCAGCTGATGTGATCACTGGAACTTTACTGAATTTCAGAACTTTACCCTTTTTATTAATCTTAGAATTTCTACCAAGGACTCCCCTATCACTTAAGTAAATGATTAATATTGATTCAAAAAATGACGAATTGAAAAAGCTTTAGGGATTTTTGTCTCTTCACTACAAGTGGCAGAGTTTCTGAACCACAATCAATTTTCACTTGTGATAATTTTATGATCTATTTAGCATAGCACAGTACTCTTGTTAATATTTTGAGAATTGTTTATACGGTCTTCCTTTAAATTGTTTTATTTTATTTAATCTTTTTTTAAAAATTTATTTCTTTTAATTGGAGGCTAATTACTTTACAATATTGTAGTGATTTTTGCCATGCATTGACATGAATCAGCCATGGGTGTACGTGTGTTCCCCATCCTGAAACCCTCTCCCACCTCCCTCCCCATTAGTGGAAAATTGCTTTACAATCTTCCATACACAAACACAAATCATATATATATATGTATATATATATCCCATCCCTCCTATCCTTTCCCCCATTAAAATTTCTTTTTTATTGAAGTATAGTTGACATATACATTACAATATAGTGATTCACAACTTGTGATCATAAACTCTGTTTATAGTTATTATGAAATATTGGCTATATTCCCCATGTTGTACAATACATTCTTATAGCTTATTTTATATCTAACAGTTTGTACTTCTTAATCCCTTACTCCTGTCTAACCCCTTCCTCCTCCTCTCTCCCCACTGGAAACCACCAGTTTGTTCTTTGTATCTATGGGTCTGCTTCTTTTCTTGTATATTCACTAGTTTGTTATATTTTTTAGATTCCACATATAAGTGATATTATAAAGTATTTGTCTTTATCTGTCTGACTTATTTCACTTAGCATAATGCCCTCTAGATCCATCCATTTTGCTGCAAATGGCAAAATTTCATTCTTTTTTATGTCTGAGCTTGCCAATGCAGGAGACACACATTCAATCCCTGGATGGGGAAGATCCCCTGGAGGAAGAAATAACAAACCACTCCAGTGTTCTTGCCTGGAAAATCCTATGGACAGAGGTGTCTAGTAGGTGGGCTACAGTCCATGAAGTCACAAAGAGTCAGACATAACTGAGCAACTGAGCACAGTGAGCCCAGTATTCTATTGTATATGTGTGTGTATATATACACACACCACATTGTCCTTATCCATTCATCCTTTGCTGGACACTTAGGTTGTTCCCATTCTTAGAAATTTTAAATAACACTGCTATGAACATTGGAAGGCATGTATCTTTTCCAGTAAGTGTTTGTGTTTTTTGGATATACACCCAAGTGAAAGTCACTCAGTCATGTCCAATTCTTTGCCATCCCATGGACAGAACCATCCAGGAATTCTCCAGGCCAAAATACTGGAGTGGGTAGCCATTCCCTTCTTCAGGGGATCTTCCCAACCCAGGGATCAAACACAGGTCTCCCGCATTGCTGGCAGATTCTTTACCAGCTGAGCTAACAGGGAAGCCCATACACCCAAGTTCAGTTCAGTTCAGTCGCTCAGTTATGTCTGACTCTTTCAACCCCATGGACCTTAAATTTCATGTTTGTGATTGGAGACCAGTTTTTCTTTTTCCTGTAGATCTCATTTAAATGTGATTGAGAACAACCCCATTCAATTAAATGAAGACTGCCTCAGTTTATCAATACTTGTATTTTTCTCCTGGTCTCCCAATCAGAGATGATATTTAAAATATTTAACATCTTCCATAGTACCTATTCCAGCTCACCAGCCAGGCAAGACTTTCTCCCTGGCTCCCTCAGAGTCAAATTCCTATGAAGACTGATGTTCCTGCAGCTACAAAGCCAAGATCAAGGGCCAGCTAGCCTAAGGGGATCCCTATGAGAGCCACTGGCAGTAACTAGGAGGCAAGGCTTTGAGAGACTGGCTTAGCATCAGTTAGTCAGAGTAGATTTCTGGCACCTAGTTAACTGGGCATTAACTCATTAGCTGTTATATCAAGGGTATCCTGGGTGAGAAGCCAGTATAACCAGGGCACTTTTACCAACCTGTGCATGCTATGTTGCTTCAGTTCAGTTCAGTTCAGTTCAGTCGCTCAGTCGTGTCCGACTCTTTGCAACCCCATGAGTCGCAGCACGCCAGGCCTCCCTGTCCATCACCAACTCCCGGAGTTCACTCAAACTCATGTCCATCAAGTTGGTGATGCCATCCAGCATTCTCATCTTCTGTCGTCCCCTTCTCCTCCTGCCCCCAATCCTTTCCAGCATCAGGATCTTATCCAATGAGTCAACTCTTCGCATGAGGTGGCCAAAGTATTGGAATTTCAGCCTCAGCGTCAGTCCTTCCAATGTTGCTTCAGTCATGTCCAACTCTTTGCGACCCCATGGACTATAGCCCGCCAGGCTCCTCTGTTTATGGGATTCTCCAGGCAAGAATACTGGAGTGGCGTGCCATTTCCTTCTCCAGGGCATCTTGTTGACCCAGGGATCAAACCTGCATCTCTTACGTCTCCTGTACTGGCAGGCAGGTTCTTCACCACTATCACCACCTGGAAAGCTCTTACCAACCTGGAGAGGACTTTTAAAATACTTTAGTAACCTGTATTATCTGTGAAGACTTTCCTATAAATATCGGCCAAGTATCAGACCTGCTCACAACCCATCATAAGCAACTGAACCTACAGACTTAGACAGTGAGGATAAACAAGCATTTTAGCCAGCTATCTAAATGTTTCCTTGTCTTCCATACTTGAAGCAGACCTTCTGCTTTGAATGTGGGTTCAATGCCTATAAGACTTTCAATATCTGTTTACCCAAACTTTTGACTTTTTTCTTCTAAGCCTCAGTTTCCTTTTCTGTAAAATAGTTATATTCAAAGCATTTCAACATACTGTTACCATGAGGTTTAAATGAGACAATGCAAGGGAAATTCTTAGTATAATACCTGGAATATAGTTAGTGTTACCCACTTTTCACAGGATCTTCAATTAATGAATTTTGTAATCATATACACAGGTACAAAGAGAAATGGTATATTTGGTTACATGAACACATGCTGTGCATTGTGTTAAAACAAAAGGATGAACAGAGAAATAGGCTATTATTGGGTATGAGAGGTTTTCATTCTTTCAGACATCATAGGGCTATTGTATACTCTGATGACATGAAGAAGCCTAGGATTGCAAGGACTGATGTCAACTCGTGGCTTCTGGGCTTTTATCCTTAATGAGGAAGAGCTCTGCTCTCTCTCTAGAAAGAGGGAGATCCTCTGTCAAGCTTCAGGTCTCCTCGTATTCATATATTATCTTTTCCTTTGACTTTTGCTCAAAACTAGGGAAAAGAGCATATCTTAAAATCACCAATGTCAGGAAACCCCAGGCTCTTTTGTTTCTGGGCAACATGGATAAGAAGACTGTCATAAAAGATATAGAAACTTAGGAGGAAATAAATAAAAATGAGTCCTAGAGGGCAGCATAAAAAAGGGTATAGCAAAACTCTGTTACCAAGTAAATGAGTCTTTTAAACAAGGTTTCCTTGTCATTCTCCTAGATTGGCATCAAGTCTTTATTTGAACCGTGTCATACTAGGTGCTCTGAGCAAAAGTCAATTATATTTTAGAGACCTGATGAAGACTAAACATCAAAATAAGAGTTGGAAGGAAGCACTGTGGCACACCATTTTCTAAGAGTTTCTTTGAATCATATCTGTTTGCCTCCTCTTCCCTCTTGGTGTTTTATCATATTCACAATATGCAGTTTTTGTTTTCTGACTTCCCTTCTCGGAAGTCTTGTTCACAAGTGGGTGTCATTGGCCCAGTCATATTGGTTTATTAGCATTGACTAATTAACTTTTCTTGATGTTTTCTTCATCATCCATGAG